GCTCTCCTGCAGCTAGATGTGCCCATATGATTCAGCCCTGACCAATGACACATCACCAGGAATCTGTCCTATTTCCTCTTCTGGTTCCTCCCTCTTCCTACTGGAATTCTGGACTAAAAGTTCCTTGGCCATCAGCTAAGGATGATTGAACAGGAAGACAGAAGCCTGAGAGTTTAGTGGCACTGTGCAGCTATCATCCAGCCCACCTCTTAATTCATTATTGCTTGAGGTAAATAAGCATCTATTTGGTTAAGCCCCTGAGTCAGGTTTCTGTTATAAAGAAGTCAAACACTAGCCTGACAACGTGAACCAAACACATGCTTAACAAAGATTATTTGTTAATAATCTTAACAAACACTTGTCCCCTTAGTTTTCTTCCAATCAAAAATATATGTGTTTGGGAAAATTATGACAATAATATTAGTAAGTTAAAATGCAAGCTAACAAATGCTGTAGGTTATATAGTATGACCCAAATTTCCTTAGAAAAAAATTGCTGTGAGATTCAGGCATATCTAGGAGCTCAGAGGATTCTATTAAACACACTAGTGTGAGGGGGGAGGAATGTGTATTTTCATTATAATAAAGCCAACTTGACAAAACTACTTCAAAATGTCCAGCTTAGTTTTTTAAGGGCCAAGAGCACTGTGGGTCCAGGCTCTGTGGAACATGTCAGGGAGCTTATGGTGACCGCAGGAGCTGGAAATAAGTGTCCATTTGGGAAGCATTAATGATGTTTTGTGATTCTTTACCTATGGCCTTGGGTGCCTATTCTGACGAAAAATGACCAGTCTAGTTTGTGATTTATATCACATGACTACTCAGCACAATGTAAGAGAATGATGAGCCGACCGTGTTTTTATTACACCAAAAGGAAGTATTTTTCAAATTATATCAGCACACTTGTGGTTTCTAACATTCCTGCTATCCCTTCACTCATTTCTAAGGAAATGAATGTTCTTTCTGAGCATAAATGTTTTAGGCCCAAATTACATTTATTCAGTAATATCTACAAACACAAGACCACATAGGCTTAAAAGGGACAGTTCATGGCAAAGGGAAGGAACCCAGGGGATGCCGAGAGCCTAAAAGTGGAAAGACCATTACACTGTCCCCTCCAAACACATTCACAGAGAATATTCTAGAAAACCAATGTGAGGATTAAAATCCTGCCCTTATGCCTAATAATATTCAACAAGTATTTCATCAAAAGACAGTGATGGAGCCATTTGGAAACAGCTGCATCAATATGTCTTGCTTGGTCTCCTGCAGTTCAGGCAAGGGCACTGCAGTTGTCAAGGTGGGACATAAAAGGGAACCCTTGGCAAACATGAGCAGCTGGAAGTGAACATCTATTTGAGTGGGAAGCACTGCACTAGGCACAGAAATGGAAAACAGCTCACAAGATGGTACAGAGATGAGCAGAGAAGGACTTTAAGAAATCTGTAGTATATTGTTACATAGATAGCTTCATATGAGCAGGACTGAATAAATTTAATAACAAAGCTATGGGAAAGTCATGCGGGAGGGTCCAAATAAGAGCTATTGATTGTAATTCAGGAGATTCGGTGTAGCTTCTCCAAGTGCCCAGCATCTCAGTGGGACCCTCCTGGGCCCTCCAGCGCCGATTCAGGACCTGCTAACTTTCCACAGCACACAGAGCATCTCACACCGCATGTTGGCAACAACAGTGAAGCAGTGGGTAAAAGTAGGCAGCACACTAAAGACAATAATGATGACAGCTAACACCTACTGAGCATTCAGGGGAGAAGTGTAATACATAATTAAAGTGAATATATTAAAATATGTCATTAGAGGTGGAATATGAAATTAGACATCTGAGTTAGAGAATGAGTGATATGACATGATTTTGCTGAAACTCGGGGAAGGAGGGACACTGTTCAACTGAGAACATTGAGTCTGGCTACTCACCTGCCTTGCTGCCTAATCGGCACACACACAACTTTCTTCTCACAGGGAACATGAAGGGAGCATATCAATGAACTGGCAACTTAGCTTCCTGACAGCAAACTAAGAAATATTTCACTAAGACATAATAAGGTGGTGAGAGTACAAGTAAGTTTGATGATGCAAACTTATTTTCCAGGAATTCTATAAATTAATTAGTCATTTCAGAATCTCAATGGAAAAATACACACACAACTATTTTGTTTGTTTTTGGTTAATACTCACCCGAGGATATTTTTTCCATTAATTTTTAGAGAGAGTGGAAGGGAGAGAAGGAGGGAAGGGGAGAGAGAGAGAGAGAGGGAGAGGGAGAGAAACATCAATGTGAGAGAGAGATACACATTGAATGGTTTCCTCCTGCACATGCCCCAACCCGGGTTGGGAAGCAAACCTACAACCCAGGTACATGCCCTTGACCGGTAACTAAACCCATGGTCCTCGGATGCATGGGCCTACACTCTAACCACTGACCCACACCAGCCAGGGCCACACACAACTATTTTAAAAATCTACTCATTGAACCGGTTCAGCCATTTGTGTTGACCGCACATGCACACACACAGACACAGTGATGTAATAACCTCTGCTTCCTAAGAAAAAAAGCATTTTTCTTTATCATTAAGAAATGGTTCCTTGGTCTTTCTATTGGCACAAAGAGGCACAGAAGTCTGTGCACACACTTGAAAAGGGAAATGTTTCCTACTATCCGGCTGCAGCTGACAGATAAGATGGGAAGCTGGTTTGTATTTCTCCAACCGCCTCTTTTCTTCAAATGTGCTTTCCAGCAACAAGTTAGAAGTCAGTATGTATGACTGAAAGCCTTCATGTATACAAAGTCTATTTTGGATTTCATTAAATCTTTTCCATTTGATGAGCTGTTAGAGCGACTGCTTCCTTATCTCTCTTCATTTCATAGCGAGCTGATAATCAGGTTTTGAACAGAGGATGCTGTGGATTGGCTTGCTCACTCTCTATTCTACCCTTTTTCTAGCTCCCTGCTGAGGCTTGATTTAAAACTGCCTCTCCTCGCCTGGCTGGTGTGGCTCAGTGGTTAAGCGTCAACCCATGAACCAAGAGGTCCCCAGTTTGATTCCCGGTCAGGGCACATGCCTGGGTTACAGGCTCGATCCCCAGGAGGGGGCGTGCAGGAGGCAGCCGATCGATGTTTCTATCTCTGTCCCTCTCCCCCTTCCTCTCTCTCTACAATCAATAAAAACATATCTAAAAATAAAAATAAAACTGCCTCTCCTGGACTGCTAAGCAACTACTGCTCCGGATGCCAATTAATCTTACCTATTAGGTGCCCTTGAGGGAGATCTGGAAGGAGAGGGTGAGTTAGAACCCATCTTTCTGTCCCGATTTCTGTTGGAGGCAGTATTGGCCACATGAATGGCAACGGTAGCTGGGGATCTCAAATCCCTAAACCGCAGTTAAGGCAGTAGGTTGCTGAACTAAGTAATTCCAGGGGCCACCTCTTGACTCCCACATCTTTATTCTTCTAATGATTTTTAAGCACCTAATTCCCGATATGAAATATCTTTTTGTGAAAAATACCTACGAAGATTTCTGTTCCTTGCCTTAAACCATGACTAATATAATTCTATTCTTTATTCCCGTTTGAAGATGCAATATATGAACCAGAACAATATTAATACACAACATTTCCATAATGCTTTGCAGTTTACAAAGTACGTGCACATAAATTATCTACATGAATCCTGACCAACTCTGAGAGGTGATGGGATGGGCTGCTCTCCCCATTGTACAGATGAGAAAGCTGAGTCTCAGAAGAGTTAGGTGACTTAGCAAGGCATTTACTTAGTAAGAGATGAGACAAAACTCAATCCTACATTTTATGACTCTTTTTTTCTTTTTTCTTTTTAAAGTACAGTTGACGTACACTATTATATTAGTTTCAAGTGTACAATCCCGTGATTATGACTCTTAATCATTTTCCTTCGACACTAGAAAGCCTCCCAAGGGCAAATGAAGAAGAGAGAGAAAGCACATGAAAGCTGGCAATGATTAAACCTTCTTTTCCTATTGAAAAATAAAAATTAAAAATAACATCATTACACTCTAAAACCATTAAGTTAGACTAAAACATCTAAGGATGGCATAGCAAATATGGGCTAGTTCATAGACAGCGTGGCTTTGCATCCAGGAGAGCCTGTGCCTCCTTCATGGCATGCCTCCTTTGAAGACTCTTTGATGTTAGTACACATATGTGAAAGGCTCAGTGCCATTTTCCAACTCTGACCACAACTTCTCTTTCTGCATAACTATCCTGGCCAAACCAAGAGTAGCCAGAAGATTTGGGGAGGCCAAGGTTAATTTCTCCTATTCTCCCTAACGGCAATTTCACCTAAGATCCACCCCTTCTCCAATGAGGACTCCTCGGAAAGAAAGGTTTCCTTCCTTCCTACTTGCTACATAGATATAATTTACAAAATATTTGATTTCAACGCTCAAGAAACCAGGAAGAAAAACATTAAGTAGGCAGGGCTTGTTTTGGACCACTTCAAAAGTGGTCAGATTCTTTCTCTCCATATCCACCACCTCTCCGCTTCATAGCAGTAAATTAACCACAGGAGGAAGGTTCCAGAGCTCGAAGCGGCAAACTTCTGACCATATGGTCCCCACTCCCTGAGAGCAACATCAGCCCGAAGACAGAAATCCAGTGCCGCAAATCTTAGAGATCATTCCACAGCCAACCTCACCACACTGGAATTCCACGATTCCCTGTCCCTGCTTCCTTCCCTGCTTGCTGCCTTCAGGCTCCCAGGGCTCAGATCAGAAGGGGTAGAAAAACTGCTGGCACTGCACAGCATCCAACCTCTGTCCTGGCATCAACATATTACGTGGTTCCTTCACACACGCAAAATGACAAATACAGAAAGACATTTAAAATTAAGAAGAGAAGAAACAAGATGAAAAGTCCATCTGATTAGTTAGGCAAATTCAATGACACCTGTCCTGTAAAATCAAGACATGTAAGAAACTATCTTGAAAGGCAACAAACGCTATACTAACCTGGGGGAAGAGAGAATAAGTGGAATTGTCAATGGTGAATGAGTATAAAAATTCTCCATCATACCACATGCTCTTCCCCATGGGGGAATTCATTTTAGTCATAGCGAAGAGATGGGCGGGGTCACAGCAGTCTTCTATCTGTTTCCTAGGAGAAAAAAAAGAGAGAAAAGAACGACAGGTTAAATGAGCAGCCGGCTCATTCACTTGTCATCCCCACAGAGATGTCAGCCTTACCTCAGTGCTGACTCACAAAAGCATCTGTGTCTCCAGGGTGATGAGACTACTGTTAATCCCCTCTTCCAGCCACCAGAACACGTGACAGGAATTGTTCATAATAAAAAGAAGCTTAAGAAAAATGCATCAGCTCTCAGATGCAGAGAAGTAGGTCCAAAGGTAAAAATAATCATCATAATTGCAGACTGATTGATTGATTGATTGATTTAAACATCCCAGTTCCAGAAAGCAGCTAACTGTGGAGACTGTGGAGATGTTCAGCTGCAGCAGAAATACATCTCTGTGGTGATTTCACAATCAGGTAGTTAAATTCAGTGACAAGGGACTTTACATGAACCATATGGAGCAGGGAACGCATACAGGGGTTCAAAAGAGGGCGCATTCCCCATTTGGGGACAAGATTAAAGAACAACTCCCAGGAAACCTTCTTAAATAGAAACAAAATGAGATGGGTAATGTGATTTCAGACACCAGTAAATCTCATGGGGCTTGTCAGTTCTTATTTTGTCTGAACTCTCAGCAGTGTTCAACACCACTGAGCGCTGTGACCTTTGCGAAGGTCTCCACTCTCTTAGTGACTGGAACACCAGGGTCTCCTGAGTCACTCCACCCTTCTGTGCAGGCTGCTCCTCTACTTGGCCCTCCAATGTAAGCCCTGTTCTATAGGCCAGTCCTCATATTCTCCTCTAATCAAAAGCTTGTTAGAAACCAACTCCATTTACTCACTGAGCTTTCCTGAGTAAAAGAGCTTAACTCCCTAGCGCCACCTCTAGAAGGACTTGCTGACATAAACCACTTCTGAATGGCAACCCCACACAGACATGCTCGCTCAGACATGTTAGCTACCCATGGTACAGAAGCTTAGAGCTGAAAGGGGACAGTAATGTGGAATGCTGGGTTCAAATCCTGGTTCTGCCATTTACTAACTCCTTAACTGGGAATGTTACTGGGCTTCAAAACTGGCTTCACAGACTGTTTCTAAGAATTCACTGAGAATGCACAGGTGGAAAACAGTAAAAGTTCAATGCATGTTGTTATCACATAACCCCACCCTCATTGTAGAGGTGAATAAACTGATTCAGTGTCAGGCCGCAAAACAAGTCTTAGCAAATCCAAGAAGATTGAAAGATACCAAGTGTTTTCTCTGACCACAATGTCATGAAACTAGAAATCAATAACAAGAGGAAAACTAGAAGATTCTTAAACACATGGAAACTAAATAGCACTCTCTTGTATAGTCAATGAATCAAAGAAGAAATTAAAGGGTAAATAATTTATTGATATAAACAAAAATGGAAACACAACATACCAGAACTTGTGGATGTAGCAAAAGCAGTTCTAAAAGGGAAGTTCATAGCAATAAATACCTACATTAAGAAGCAAGAAAAATCTCAAACAACCTAACTCTACACCGTAAGCAACTAGAAAAAGAACAACAAAGTGAGCCCAAAGTTGGCAGAAGAAAGGAAATAATAAAGACTAGAGCAGAAATAAATGTAATAGAGAACAGAAAAACAATAGAAACTATCAGCCTAACTAAGATTTGGTTATTTGAAAAGATAAAACTGACAAACCCTTAGCTAGAGTAACCAAGGAAAAAAAGAAAGAAAGAAAAAACCCCAAACCAACAAAATATAAATGAAACATTACAACTGATACCACAGAAATTCAAAGGATCACAAAAGGCTACTATTGACAACTATATGCCAAAAAACTGGACAATCTAGAAGAAAAGGAAAAATTCTTAGAAACATACAATATACCAAGACTGAATCAAAAAGTGACAGAAAATCAAAATAGAGCAATTAATAGTAAGAAGATTACATCAGTAATCAAAAACCTCCCAATGAAGAAAAACCCAGAACAGATGGCTTCACTGGTGAATTTACCAAACATTTAAATACAAGTAAACGCCAATCCTTCTCAAATTCTTCCAAAAAAAAGCAAAGAGAAGTGGACATTCCCTAACTCATATTATGAGGCCAGCATTATCCTGATGCCAAAACCAGAAAAGGACACTACTAAAAAAGAAAAGTACAGGCCAAAATCCCTGATGAATACAGATGTAAAAACTCTCGATAAAATACGAGCAAACTGAATTCAGCAGCACATTGGGTCATACACCATGGTCAAGTAGGATTTTTCTCTGGGATGCAAGGATGGTTCAACATATGCAAATCAATCAATGTGATACACATTGATTAGAAAGGAAGAAAAGAACATATGATCATCTCAATAGACACAGAAAAAGCATTCATCATCATTCAACATCCATTCAAGATAAAAACTCTAAAAAATCAGGCATAAAAGGAACATATCTCAGCATAATAAAGGCCACATATGACAAATTCATAGGTAACATCATACTCAACTGTGAAAGGTTGAAAGCCCTTCCTATAAGATCAGGAACAAGACAAGAGTTCCCACTCTCACCACTCTTACTCATCATAGTCCTAGAAGTCCCAGCCAGAGCAATCAGGGAAGGAAAAGAAAATGTATCAGAATTGGAAAGAAAGAAGTAAAATTGTCTCTATTTGCAGATAGCATGATTTTACATCAATAGCATCCTAAAGACTCAAACAAAAAAACCATTAGGTCTAATCAGTGAATTCAGTAAAGCTGTAGAACACAAAATTAACATGCAAAAATCAGCAGTGTTCTTATACACTAACAACAAATTTTCTGGAAAAAAATAAATAAATTGATTCCATTTACAACAGCACCAAAAACAAAAAGTACTTAGGAATAAAATTAACTAAAGAGGTAAAAAGATAGGAAAAAATCAAAAAAAGTCACAAATAAATGGAAAGGTATCCCACATTCATGGATCAGAAAAATTAATATTCTTAAAATGGCAATACCACCAAAAGCCATCTACAGATTTGTGCAAGTTGACATACATAGAGCTATTGTGAAATGGAGCCAAAGCAGCCATTTCAGAGAATGTCCCCCAAGCCCTGTTTTCTGAAACTTCGAACTAGGCCATATTGCCAATATTCCAAGAAGTTAGCAAGAACAAAAACATCTCGTTTGAATGACTGATAAAAGTAAACTTTGTCTAGTGAATGTTTTGCCTGATCAATTGATCAGGCCTTTTCTTGTCAGCACGAATAAACTTCCTTGCAAACAACTTCCCTCATATTCTTCCTTTATTTCCATAAAAACCCTGATTCCCTCTCCTGCAGTCAGGGTAACATTTGGATTTCCACTAAATCTGTGTACTCTGAATTGCAATTCTTTGATTCCAAAGAAACACTTTTGCTTTTCAACTGGTTCTTGTTTTTTTGGTTTTTTTTAGGTTGACAGATTCAATGCAATCTGTGTCAATATTCCAAAGGCATTTTTTTAAAAGAATTAAAAAAACACTCCTAAAATTTATATGGAACCACATAAAAAAAACAAATAGCCAAAGATATCCTGAGAAAATAGAACAAAGCAGAATACATCACACTTTCTGATTTCAAACTATACTATAAAGCTATAGTCATCCAAACAGTATGGTATTGCCATAAAAACAGGCAGGCAGACCAGTGAAACAGAACTGAGAGCCCAGAAATTGACCCAAGCATATACAATCAACTAAGATTTTACAAGTGAGCCAAGAATCTTTCAATGGAGAAAAGATAGTTTTTTTCAGTAAGTAATGCTGCAATAACTGAATATTTACATGTAAAAGAATGAAACTGGATCCGTATCTTATACCACTTGCAAAAATTAACTCAAAATAAAGACTTAAATGTAAGACCTGAAACCATGAAACTCTTAGAAAAAAACAGGAATAAAGCTCCTTGACATGGTCTTTGGTAATGATTTTTTTGGATATGACATCTGAATTATCAGAAACAAAAATAAAAATAACTGGGACTACATCAAACTAAGAAGCATCTGCACAGCAAGCACTCATCCTTGAGATGGTAAACCTGCTTCATAGGATGTTAAGAGGACTATGAGTTAGTATTTGTAAAGTTCTTGGAACTCTGCTCCACTCTATGTTCTATCTCTTACGTAGGTGGTACATCATTTTTCTGCCAATGATATTTGTAAAATTTTTTAAAATAATATAAGGCAGGATAACAAAGTTAATATTACATGATAAATCAAATCTTTATAGAATTATTTGATATACTAGCATTCAAAATATTAAAGAAAATAACCTTTAGAAACTATATTTAATTTCCAGTTATTTAATTCCATCTAGACAATGAGATGTTCAGGGAGAAAATGTCCTAGCTGGGAACTCTTCATACCTTGTTATGAGGAACAAATAGTTAAATTTTACATCTGCCCCTAAAGAACCCATGAGGAAGAAAGCTCATAAAAACAGACTCATGAGAAGTCATCCTGACCCAGGCCTAATAGAGAATCCTCATATCCTTCTTAACTTCTTTATTTTTCTCTACAGCGCTTAACACTATTTATGTGGTGCATGTTTAATTTATAGTTTTGCTTACTGTCTGTCTCCCCACGTCCCAGGATATAAACTCCATGAGAGGGACTTTTGTCTTCTGTTCACCTCCGGATGCTCACCTCCTGAAATGGTGGCTGATATACTGAACATGTGCTGAATACTTGTTGATTGAATGAATAAATAACAAGTAGGAAGGAAAGAACAAAACATTAGAGAAACAGGAGGACCTCAATGCGCGGTCCAGTCTATTCTCGCTCATCAAAATTCAAACCGAAGAAGTTAATTCCTTATAGTTTTAGTCTATGAAGACCAAAAAACAGAAGATTGTGAAAATAATTGCTATAGACAGGAAAACATTTGCAGTAGCAGCAGATCCAGGATTTTTGAGATTTGCCGGCTGGTGAACCCCAAGTTCCTTATACGGTGCATTAAACATCAGTCTGATTAAAGCAAGCGTCCCATTAGGACTGCAGACCTGCAACACAGGGACCGCAGGAGCAGTCCAGCAGCTGACGGTGCTTACAAACTCTTTCCTTCACCACAGTGTCAAACTTTCAAAATATGACTTTACAATGTCTGATAAGGTTTCAGGTTTAATCTTGTCTCCAAAAATTTCTTTCTATTCCGTTAATATCTAACTGCAGTCACTTATTGATTTTAACATTTGGCTTTTGGTCAAAATGT